TAATGTTTATGTTAACTTGTACAATTAATGTTGTTCTATTGCTATTTGTCTCAAGCAAGGAAACTTCTTTAGTTCCTAGAGAAGTATTCCCTCCGTCTCAGATTTTTAAACAAATGTTACATTTATTATTGGTGAATCTACTAAGATCTGTACGTAAAGCTTTACAAATCGTGTCAGGTTTTTAAAATGTGTATGCAACTTTGTGTGAATGTAAGGTATTTGTAAATATATTTATATGTCTTAAAAATCTGAAATAATTTAAAAATATATATCTTCATCAGTTTTGTTGATGAAGACCTGATGTCTAAACATTTGGTGCTGTGTGAAAGACACTGGATGTTAATCATCTTTTTTTGTTCTGTATTGTGATACAGATTAAGATCCTTAAATGATTGCAAAAATTGTTAAAATTGATTAATAGTATTTATCGATTGATTGTTAAAAAGGATAGCACATGTTGATAATGATTGTTGATTGAGTAATTGTTAAGAATAACTGTTTAATTCACAAGGATCTGATGAAGGTTGTCTCGAATCGTTTCTTATGCCCAAGGTTAGGGCATTCCCAAGGTCGTATTATCTTCAAGGTCGTGAACCATTAATTAATGAAATCCAATTTACCTGGCTCTCCCATAATATCAGGAGACTTAATACTTGTTACACACATTATTTAACAAATTTACTAACAGTATTAATTAACTCAAAGGTGCTATGTAAATAATTATTATGTATATTAGAATATAAATTTGAATAGAATATGGTAATTAATTATTATTTCGTGTTTTCATATTGTAATAAAATATACGCTATTGTTGTAATTGCTTGTTAATATGTAAATGCATTTATGTTTTGAATTTTAAATAAACGCTGATATTGCTCAAATACAAAAATTTTGGTTTCATTTCTTCATGCATCCTTTACTGGTGCAGTTACAAGCTGATATCGTTTGAGTTGAACCGTGTAGTATGAAAAAAAGGAAATTAGTATGAGCGGACTGAGTCTAGTTCTAAATTGCATTGTTTTGCATATTGGAACAATGAATAAATTAAATAAAAAAATAACAGTTATAGTAGGATAATTAAAAACATGAAAAAAATGGCACCGACTGCTTGGTTTAACAAAAGAACTTGATTAAGTTTATTTAAGAGAATCCACAGCACCTATAGTTATAAAAAAACGGCAAGCCGGACACCTGAAAAATTGAAGAAAGAAGAAACAATAAACTAGTACAACAACCTGTGCCATTAAATTTTTTTTTAGAAACACAAAAATACAACATAAAAGTTTACACACACACACACACACACACACACACACACACATATATAAATATATATATATATATATATATATATATATATATATATATATATATATATATATATATATATATATATACATATACATACATGCAAATATATATTTGCATGACTTTTTTTGTGTAGGTATTTCATCATTGATGATAAAATCAATTGCATAATTGATTAAAAGCTGTAATATAGATAGACATAGAAAAGTTGATGTTAAAAATTAACTAATGCTTTCATCAGATGCTACATTGAAACCATTACTGTTTTTAATCTATTTAACAACGCCTCTTTTACCCTCATATTCCCCATGCATACAATAGTTTCTAATAATACTCATACCAGCAACCACAATTGTCTAATTGTTGTTTAGTTATAACATAGTTAACATACAATGCTAGGGACAGTCACATACACCATATAATGAATGTACGAATGTACAGCATACTTGCAGTTGAACATCATAATTTGTATTACAATTATATTTATGAGACAAATATTTACATTTTAAATTATAATGACGTTCGTGAAAGAAATGTAGCTTAGGAAAAGTTAAACACGGCTGAGAGGGTGTTTTAGTATTCATTGAGGTGATTTTTCTGTGTTAAATTCAGATAGATGTTTAGATTTGTATTACTGTACGGTTTACTTACGATTTATTGTATTTCTTTAAGTTCTGATGTCATTTTACAATTTACTGTGTTTAATAGTAAAAATAATAATATTTATAACGATAACAATGTTAATAATTTAAGCAGTACATGCATCAATAGTTATTGTCATTATAATTAATATACATTAGTACACATACATTAATTAATGACGTTTTATAACAATAAAAATTCTGATGATTCCAAGTAGTATGATAACCTTAGAGATACGAATAATACATTTTATCAACAGAGGGTAATGTATGCTGAATTGTGTTAAGTGAAATGAGTTGGGTGAATTTTTTGGGGTGAAGTGTGATGGATTGTGTGGGGTGAATTGTGTGGGGTGAATTGTTTGGGGTGAATTGTGTTGGATAAATTGTGTGGGGTGAATTATGTGGAGTGAATTGTTTGGGGTGAATTGTTTGGGGTGAATTGTTTGGGGTGAGTTGTTTGGGGTGAATTGTGTTGGATAAATTGTTTGGGGTGAATTATGTGGGGTGAATTGTTTGGGGTGAATTATGTGGGGTGAATTGTGTGGGGTGAATTATGTTAGATGGATTGTGTGGGGTTAAATATGTTGGGTGAATTCTGTGGGGCGACACATCAGGCCACTGCATGGTGTTCTACAACTAAAATCATATGTTCTCTATGGGGTGAAACAGTCAGTGTGTCACACTGCCTCATACACTCACATCAATGACACAGTATTGTCTTAACGAGACTCCTGACGTCATCAAACGACGGAATGAGTAGACACAGGGCTAGGTTAAAGTGTTAAAACTACTGTACGTACGAGGGTGCTAAAAATAGCACGTTTTATTCATCATTTCAAACCAGGTTAAGAACCCTGTTCTTAAATGTGACGTTTTCATTCATTAAGTACTGACATTTGTTCAGTGACCTAATTATTGGTTCATGACTTCAGAGGTTCAAGTTGAAGCTAAAAATAACTATACGAGTTGTGATCTTGTTGAAACCTACAATGATGAACATTACAAACATATCACACTAGATATCTTTGAAAGAAAAAAAAACTAGTATTCATACTACTACTTCGAATTCGGAAAATAAAAGAGTTTAATTTGATGCATGGAAGTATAAAAATAGTATAAAAACGGTTTTCGTATGTAAAATTTGCACTAAAAAGAAGAAAAGAAATGATTTTAGAATTCAGTTAATGGAAAGTCACTCAAAAATTAAAAGTATTTCAAATATAAGATCTTAAATTTGTGTATACAATTTCGTCAACGAATCTGAATTAGCACTCAAGTTATAGTGTTCAAGCGGAAACAAAGTACCACTGCCGGTTTCCGAAAATTCTTCTTGAAATCGCTCAAAGGTCGACACAGAACTACAACTTAGATATCATACTTATATATGACATTTTGTCAACAGAAAAGGCACTCAGAAACACAGACAGACAGACAGACAAAACTGCAAAACACATTTTTTCGACTAGGGATTTTTGGCACAGCTACAATACTTTGTCTATTTTTCTTATAAGGTAACACGAATTCATTCTACTTTATTGCTTTGTCTATCGTCCATTATGGGTCGAAATTTGCAACCCCTTTTGAATGATTTCTTTCAAACTTTTCAAGACTCAATGACAATGAACTGTGATATAAAATGCTACTTAATTATTATATAGAGATTGTTTGCGATTATTCGCTGGGCATTTTTTTCTACGCGCTTTATTCAATTTAAAAACAAGCAACTGTTTAAAAAAATGATTAAAAAACGTTTTAAAATGATAATAAAGAAACATTCTGAAAGTTTTTAAAATTTTTATATTTGCATAAAGCGTATGTTTTTAAAAAATCAGAGAGCGATTTTTGTCACTTACTTATTTATTTCTATAACCCGATTGCGCTCCCTTACTGTTGTTGTAAATTATATACGAGAACATTTTAGGGGGAGATAAGTCCCTCTTTGTTTTAGATTGTTATTTTCAAAAAATGTTAATCAAGGTCCTTTTTTGTTCATTAAAGTAAAATAATTGTTATTATCTCTACCGCATCAGGTAAATAGTAAACTGTATCACAAAATCTAAGAAATTGTTTTTGGCTTTCTGCACCTCAGGATTTCTTAAAAACTTATTGTTAATATATAAATAAATAAATATATATACATTTATCCTCTCTATATATATATATATATATATATATATATATATATATATATATATATATATATATATATAGATTGATTGATAAATATACATATGTATTTAAACATCTATATATATGTGTGTATGTATGTGTATGTATGTATGTATGTATATATATATATATATATATATATATATATATATATATATATATATATATATATATATATATATATATGTATATATATATATATTATGGGCTCCAACTGAGTCAGTTGAAAATCCTAAAATAAAACAAAAAAACGAGAAATCTTCCTCTTCCTCCTTCATTTGTTCTGCCTTAAAAAATTATCGATACAAAATTTAGTTATCATTGGGAGCGATCTCTATTCATTGAGGTTATTTTGAGAATGCTCTACTGCTGTGGACAATTTTAATGGGGCTATTAAAATTCCATTTGATTTTGAATGAAGGAAGTCAATTATTAAAAGCAAAAGTTAGGGTAGTAAGGTAATTTGGAAAAAAATAATTTCGAAAAGTAAAATTCTGTTTTGCCTCGCGCAATGGCCCAAAACCCCCGAAAGAGGGCGGGTTGGCGACAACTCTCTCTCGCGCGGCGCGCCAGACGCTAGGGGAAATAACTTAGCGTCAATCGACGTAGGCCGCCGTAATCGTCAATGGGAACGTACAAGGATATAAAATTATTTTTAGCCAACCAATGCTAGCTGACCAAAAATTAAAGGATTTCCCCTCATATCGCGGTAATATAAGCGCGTGTTTCATTGAGAAAGTCAATTCAAACTTTAGAGAGCTAGACTTAAGACACAAAACTAGAGCGAAGAAAAAATATTTTTCTTGAACTTGTAATTTATTTTTGAAAAGTTAAATTAATAATTATTTTATTAAACACAAAATTTTGGAATTAAAAAAAATGGAAAGCATTAGATTTGTTATGTTTTTGGTGTTTTTCGTCGCTGAAATTTTCGCCTTACCAGCGGTGGGACGTGACGAAATAAACAAAACACCAGGGTGGCTGTCGTCTGCTGTTTTAAATTTGAGAAACTCGTCAGCTGACAACGAAACGGTTGAAGGAGAAGGCAGCGCGGTGCCAAACACGACTCACCCGTTCCTGCGAGCCAAGCGTGACGTCAACTGCCCCATCCCCAGCTACATCCCTGTGGAGGTTCTGGAACTGAACACCTTCCTCAACAGCACCCAGTACCTGGGTCTGACCCCCCAGCAACCCGCCTACACCCCCCTGCCCACACAGCCTTCAACTTGCCCCGCCCAATCTGGGTCATGGTGGCCTGGGACTGAACTTAACCTGAGGTCAACCTGCCCTTGGATTCTGACGGCCACTGATCTGGGAGAATCATTTTACCCAAGGTATGTACACAAACCATTTGTGACCATCAATACTTGATTTATTAACGTTCCATTACATTAAGTTCGTGTCGTTTATTTCTTCAAGCGCTTTGCATATTCGTAGAATAACCTGAGCAATAATTGTATTAGCCGTTAATAGAGTGTATAAAAAAATCTTGCATTTAAAAATCTTTAAATACAATAATATCAATAATTCAAAGATTATAAATCCTATACAGAATATTTTTTTAAAAATAATTAGCATAAAACTAGTCAGTCTTTAATAAAGCAAAACAAACAATTACAACTTCTGTCAAGTAATTTACATTAAAAGTAGGTCTACTTTTTAAAAGTAACTAAATTATTGATAGCGTATAGAGTTGGCCTATATTTAAATATAACTTTGCTCAGTTAAATGTATTTACCGTAAAAAAAATAACCTTAAAACTATATGAATTTAAAATGTAACTTGGTTAAACTATATTCATACAATGAAATACGCGATTATGTTGTATTAACGAGTTTCTTGCATTGTTTGTTTTACCAGGTACATCAACGAAGCCAAGTGTCTCTGCACCCAATGTGTCAACGCCAACGCCATGAACTGTGAGAAGGTCAGACAGGAGATCACAGTCTTCCACCGTGGTGCCTGCAACAACGGTCTGGCAGTGATGACCGCGGTCAAGAGGATGATCACTGTGGCTTGTGCTTGTGCCGGCATCCCAGTCCAGACTTCCGGTGGGGCTCCCGTCACAGAGTAAACAAAAAAGTCACGTGATTGTGAAATCTCCAAAACTCCAGCATGTAATGCTACATCTAGTAGATCATATTGATCTGTATGTAAGGGAAATAACTATATAAATATTTATTTGCCGTATTATTTATTTAAAATACATACTTCTCTTTTTATTAGATCATATTGATCTAAAGTAAAAGAGATAACTATGTATATATTTATTTGTGACTTTGTTAACTTAAAATTTCTTACTGCCCCTTTTTTATTATTAGATCATATTGATTTAATAGTAAGGGAGATAACTATGTAAATATTTATTTGTTGTGTACAAAATTTAAATTATCTAACTCCGCGAATCGTAGATCACTTTTGTGACTTTGATGAATTAAAATTTATTACTGCCCCTTTTTTATTAATAGAACATATTGATAATATAGTAAGGGAGATAACTATGTAAATGTTATTTGTTGTGTACAATATTTAAATTATTAACTCCGCGAATCGTAGATCATATTGATCTGTCCTATACCACGGGGTATTATTTGTATCATTTTACTCAATATGTTATACTAAATATAGAAATTTAAAACATATAAAATATTTTTTTTTATCTAAAACAATTGAAATTTATTTGTTGGCCTACTTTTAAGTGACTGTTTAAATTTTTTATTTATAATGCATAGGTAAACAGCAACGAATCATGAAAGCAGTTTTATTTTGTCTTTAAAAAAAATCATCAACTAATTAAAAGCAGCTAATGAGCTATCCAATTAAGAACTATGGAGTTACAAAAAAATATTAGACAAGAGCATGCTAAAAAGCATGGGTACTTCATTTGAAGTGCTCAACTTAATTTTTTGTTAGAGGATTAGCTTTTGACACTAAGTGGCTTTTCAAAGTTTTAAATATAGATATGTATATAATGTAAAATGTCAATAATTTATTCTATAAGTTCTTAATGTATCATATTGATATATTTAATTGTTTTTTTTACTAAAGGACTGATTAATTTAAAATAGTTGTCAATTGCGACTTTAAAATTGAACATTACACTTAAACGGTTGACTGTTGTGCAGGTAATTGGTAAAAAAACAGTTGCCAATAAAATATCACCCAGAAATTAAAAAAGAATAATTGATTGATTATTTAACATAATATTTTAAATAATTGGTATTTGTTGATTATAATATTGATTCTACTCACTTCATTTGAAATCCTTTTGTTTATACTCTCTTATTTTTTTTTAATATGAGTGATTTGTATAATGATTGTCTTCAATGTGTACTATGCTTTTTTACCAATATTTTTGCTTTTTTACTGATAATTTTTGAATATATATATATATATATATATATATATATATATATATATATATATATATATATATATATATATATATATATATATATATATATATATATGAGAGAGAGAGAGAAAGAGATGAGAGAGTGTGTATGTAAACTTGTCTATTAAAGTTGTACTTAGTTTATTAGTAAGCTTATCAAATCCATTAACTCTCAGTATTAAGGCTGTTGTGAAACTTTTGTGTTCTATTTGTACATGCAATGTTGTTGTTAATAACCTACTATTTATTAAATGCTCAAAGCTTGCCAAGCTCAAATTTATAATTTTATAGCTATTTATAACATTTTACGTGAAATAAATCTTTAAAAAATAATAATGTACTGTGTTCTTGTATTTTCTTGTAGTTTAATATTCTAAAGCTGCACGTAATAGCTAATATAATTAACATTATTAGATTAAAGCAGTAGGTTTCAAAGCGACGGTGGGGCAGGGTGCTTCACTGCAGAGGCGTAGCGACCCTTCCCGGCGCCCGGGAACAAGCTTTTGATTTGCACCCCCGTCAAACTTTTGATTTGCCCCCCCCCCCCTCAAACTTTCGGTTACTTTTTCCAACCCATTTTGGCGCCCCCTAAGGTCGGCGCCCGGGGACATATGTCCCCCCCTCCTGCCCACCTCCATCGCTACGCCTCTGCTTCACTGTACCATTAGAACTGAATGGACTCAGGAACGTTCTCGAGACTCTCGGGTAAGCAGTCTAGCGCTCTACCGCTAGGCCACTCTGTCCCCCTAAATAGCTAAATAATTCAAAAACTTGATAGTATTATCATCTAAGGTGTAGCTAATGAGGGAGCAGAAGGGGTTGCCCCACCCCCTCCACCTTACAGATTTTCACTAAGTGTGCCGCCTTTTTCTAAGATTAATTTCAAACTTAACTATCATAGGGAGATCATGAAATATGTTATTAAAACGGAGTGGTAATGTTAAGATGATCATTTTGCAATATAGTGTCCTAATTTATTTAAAAAAGAAAAAAAAAAGAAAGCAGCAGCAACAACAACAAAACAACCAGCAACTTTCTATGTTTATCAAAGGTGTCGCATGAGTCGTATTTACTTTCCCCAACTAGTGCCAGGTACCCATTAGGGCTAAATGGGATTTATTGTCTTACATCACGAGCTCTAGTCTATTCACACCTGGAAGCTTTGGGGGGGGGGGGCAGAGCGAACTTTGGGCTGGAATTTTTGAGTGGTAAACTAGGCCTTAGTTTGCTCTAATTGCAGATATACCTGTTAGGATTCATCGATGTTAGGTGACTTATCGCTGGGTCGCATCAATGGTAGCGGTGGTTACCATTTAGGTCCCAGCGATGGTACGTGTAGCGGTGGTTACCATTTAGGTCCCAGCGATGGTACGTGTAGCGGTGGTTACCATTTAGGTCCCAGCGATGGTACGTGTAGAAGTGGTTACCATTTAGGTCCCAGCTATGGTACGTGTAGCGGTGGTTACCATTTAGGTCCCAGCGATGGTACGTGTAGCGGTGGTTACCATTTAGGTCCCAGCGATGGTACGTGTAGCGGTGGTTACCATTTAGGTCCCAGCGATGGTGCGTGCAGTGGTGGTTACCATTTAGGTCCCAGCGATGGTGCGTGTAGCGGTGGTTACCATTTAGGTCCCAGCGATGGTACGTGTAGCGGTGGTTACCATTTAGGTCCCAGCGATGGTACGTGTAGCGGTGGTTACCATTTAGGTTCCAGCGATGGTACGTGTAGCGGTGGTTACCATTTAGGTCCCAGCGATGGTGCGTGTAGCGGTGGTTACCATTTAGGTCCCAGCTATGGTACGTGTAGCGGTGGTTACCATTAAAATTAGGTCCCAGCGATGACAGGTGTAGCACTGACTACTCGCTAGCTCCAACTAAAGGCAATGCTACATGTGGCAGTGGATACTTATTAGGTCCCACCAATGTTATATATAGCAGTGGCTATTGGATAGATCCAAACAATGTTACATATAGCAGTGGCTACTCTCTATGTTCCACCATCGCTACATGTAGCAGTAGCTACACATTAGACCCCACCAAAGCTACATGTACCAGTGGCTACCCTCTATGTTCCACCATCGCTACATGTAGCAGTAGCTAAACATTAGACCCCACCAAAGCTACATGTACCAGTGGCTACCCTCTAGGTTCCACCTTCGCTACATGTAGCAGCGGCTACTCCTTAGGCACCACCAATGACACAGGTAGCTGTGGTTCCTCTTTTGGTTCCACCTTTACTAATTTTAGCAGTTGCTACCTGCTATGCCTCAACATCACTACATGTAGCAGTTGCTACCTGCTATGTCTCACCATCGCTACATGTAGCTACTCTAGCTGGGTCCCATCAGAAGGCTTCAGTTTTACCAATCCCAATTGACGGTAGCTGTGTTGTCCAGAACCATAATGTCGGATTTCTAGTCCAATCCCATGTTGACGAAGTAGATTTATTAGGGCTGCTTGTAGCGGCATATAACAGCTATCTATGTATTACCTGTTACGCCTAAGAAAAGTCAGACATTCTCTGTATAACCGATTAGACGGGATATGACAGCTATGTATTATCTGTTACGTCTATGAATAGCCAGACATTCTCTGTATAACCGATTAGACGGTATATGACAGCTATGTATTACATGTTACGTCTATGAATAGCCAGACATTCTCTGTATAACCGATTAGACGGTATATGACAGCTATGTATTATCTGTTACGTCTATGAATAGTCAGACATTCTCTGTATAACCGATTAGACGGGATATGACAGCTATGTATTATCTGTTACGTCTATGAATAGCCAGCCTTTCTCTGTGTCACCGATTTAGCTTATCTCATCGACCTAGGGATGGCACTCAATGATGTTAAAGATCTGCCGTGGAGGGTCTGGGTGTTGATATATGTAACACTGGGTACTCCTAGATATGTAACGTTACATACAATATCTATTTATATTTATTTTATTTTACTATATTTTTCTATTTCCCTCTCTTGAACACCATGAGAAATTATAACACAGAAAACATGCCAGAAGTCTTACTGATCATACGATTATCTGCCTGCTAATGTAGATAGAGCACCTATTGATGACCCCCCCCCCCCCCCCAAAAAAAAAACATGACAGTGGTCCTCAACATTGTGACATCACCGTGTGATTCGTATTCAGTAAAACACAGGCAAATAGAAAGCTTCGCTCTTCAGGTTAGAGAGATACATGTGTTCATGTTGTCTTTGAATTCTGTTGTAATTTCATAAAGTACTGCATATTTATAATTATAATATTTGACTACATTTTATTGTAATTCTTACGTTAAGTTCTTTTCTGTTACAACGTTAAAATAGGCCTTGACAAAATGACCCCTACAAAACAAACCCGGCTTCTGACAAATGTGCTCACGACAAATTGATTCCAAACAAAAAGTATAGCCACTCTTGGCATCGGCGTAACCATTTTTATCCAACCCACTAACCACACGCATTCCTACCTCAACTACCATTATTACTTGTTTAAATACCTGGAGAAAGAAAAACTTCTTCATGAACCAACAACAATTTTTAAATAAATTGAGCTCTAAACACAAAGTGCTACTAATTTAAAAATGTTGATAATCTTTTATTAACCCTTAAAGATCTGTTCCTTAAAAGCGAACAATAAAATTGAAAAGTATGTACATAATATTCACAGAATAAACGACGTTCTATTTTGATAACCTAAAAGCACACTGAAGACAAATGTACAGCATGGACCACTCCCTCCCCACACACTGAGTTGGAAGAGCCCAAGACCGACTCATATAGTGGACGTAACAAAACTCCAAGTTATATCTAAAAACGATACTTTACCACCTTCAGTGACATCAGCAATTTAAAAAAAAATTCTTCAATGAAATCGAACTCTCTTCCTCTGCGCTGCCATCAATTATTGGTGCACATTTTCACTTCACTGGAATCGTTGGAGTCTCTCCACGACCTTCAACCTTCCGGGGTTACGACCTTCAACTTACCGGGGCCTTTGACCTCTCGCTCGAACCACGAAAGCGTGCAGATTTATAGCCTACCACATTGCGATTTTACTTTTTGACAAATGTAAAAAAATCAGGGTCAATCACAGAGTTTCAAGAAAACAGATAAGTCCCTGGACTGGTGTTACTATAAATAGAACCTTATGACTCAGTCAAGGAGCAGATAGACACGTTTTATTGTTTTAACCTGGTTTTGGAATGTAAACACGGCTTAAACCGGAAGTTACCTCGGCTTGTTCCACGTCTCAGGGTGGGGGTATGTTGATGTCGCTCCTGATTGGCTGAGTATGTCTAGGCCCATGGGAGCTACTTGTATCAAAAGATGGTATGCTATAAAAACATTGAAGATCCCCGCTTAAACTCTTAATGCCACTCAAACTATCTATCTGGCGATGTATACGTAAATAGCATAAAACCTAAAAAATGCAAGCTTAGTAATTTCAGAACTTCAAAATATCTCAAAAGTCATCCCACAAACACGCAGAACTCAGTGCATCATACGTCTTTGCATTCAATCAATGCTAAATTTTACGACTATATGATACATGCAAATTTGAGTTTGAATTTTAATCCAAGTAGGAATGCATTATTTTACTCAACATCCTGATACGTGTAAGGTGATTTTCAGCATTGCCTACTTACACTGCCATTTGCAATAGGTTTTTCTTTGATGAGCTGATTGCTATACATTTAGATGAGGATTTAAGATAGAAAAACTATTGAGACAAACGCTTCTGTTAGTTTAACTACTGCTCATCAAATGTTATACAATAACACTTAACTTTGCTGTTAAAGGACTAACGACTACCATTATTTGTTTGTCATGTGCAATGTTTCATACACTTTTAGCAGTCTTGCTAGACAATGCAGACTACGCAGTAATTCTTAAACATATTTGAAACATATTTTTTAAAGAAATATCAGCATATATATATATATATATATATATATATATATATATATATATATATATATATATATATATATATATATATATATATGTTTACCTCATACCAACTTCCGTTCCCCACAATAAAAAACCATATCAGTCCACATATTTGTCATGTGCAATGTCTCATACACTTTAATCAGTCTTGCAAAAGTCCCTTAAAGTCCTGTCTAAACTAACAACTGCAAACGTCAGATTGTCTAACGCGATTAAAAGCAACATCAAACGTCTTACCATTCCAGCCTAAATCATCGTCTGAATGGTTGAAAGGAAAAATTGCACTATCTACATGCTAAACATTCAACTGCCTGTAGTATTTTGTCTTTATCGGGCAACCTTGAACTGGCGCGGCCCTTGATACATATTTCTGGTGAAATGGTTCACAGGGGGCACCCCCTCGACGTCATTACACAGTCACGCTCGCAGACTTCTATCAGTGATATATTTATAGCTGTCTTCTAAATCCTGATGGTGTGATTCCTCATCAGCCAATAGCAGCGCCGCTAAATTTAACCACCAAAACATTTCTAATAAAATAAAAGTCGCTGCACAGAAAATGCCAAACTCAAACAAGCCTGAGAGAGCATGCTAGACTAGGGTGTAGAGCCACACAACATAACTACAACAACATAGAACTCTACTTTAGACTGCCTGCTTAAAACTTGATCAATTTTAATTTTCGTCAGTATTTTTTTTTTCGAGAAGCGAAGAAATAGAAAACATGAAATTTGTCTGTCTTGCACTTTGCATGATGTGTGCAATGAAGCGTTTTCCCAACACGCTGGGGACGCCTTTCACTTCAGCGTACACCAACGACAGCAGTTCAATATTGCCAAAGGTGACTCATCTTCAGGCTTTAGACATGACCGAGAGCTCCAACGATGATGAAACATACAAGCAGCCAATGTCGCATGAACTAGACTCGACAGGAAGTCAACTTGATAAATCAACTTCCGCTGCTTCGAGCAGGTTAAAGAGACAAGCCATGACCGGGGTCAACTGCTCAGACGTGAACTGCACCATCCCCAGCTACATCCCCGACCAAGTGAGACGCCTCACCGATTTTCTCAACAGCACTCAGTACCTAGGCTTGATGCCTCGACATCCGGCATTTTCCCCGCTGCCGGCTCAGCCGTTAGAGTGCCCGAACGGTACCACGACATGGTGGCCTGGGAATGTAACCGGTGAACGAGCGATCTGCCCGTGGGTCTTCCAATACACTGATTACGGTGAATGTGTTTATCCCAGGCAAGTTTTCATGCTTAAGAAATCCTCCAGTAGATTGTACCTTTTATATTCATGATCAAACATGATAGCATAAATCACTATTGGTTTTATTAGCGTCCTGAATATTACTAATAATAAATGTAACAAATGCGTTTTTCAAGAGTATATATGCTATTTCGGAAATTATAATTGTAAATAGAAGCTACAGATTTGCTTTTTCATTACTTTTTCCAGCTCAGACTAAGTTGTATTGAGGATTTCTAACGCGTATATTACCTACAATCATTCCATCAGCTTCAAACATCGTTTTTAATGTTTGCACCGTCGCATCGAGAAATTCGGTCCGAATTACCGAACTCTCCACCGTCCGATTAACTAGTAACATTTCTACTGCTCGACCACGCTATCCATCTGTCAAACTGTTTAAAAACTTAGTTTGGTTTACTAGATATCATACTTTCAATAACATAAACACTGATATGCTTCATATCTCTACCATGCTCCACGAAAACATTGTTCACCCTATAACCTTTTCCTGTTAGTAAATACAAGACCTAAGAATGAGGGCATGTTCGCGCCGTAAAGCAATGTATCATAGCTTACTATCGAAGTGCGAAATGTAGGCAAAGAACTTTTCAATTACAAAATCGTGTCTGGTGTGAATGGTTTACAGCAGGCCATAAATAATGAAAGCGTGTAGATGCATATTCCGTTGGCGTAGACGTGGCACGGGCAGCGTTGGGGTTTGATAAGATATAGTACAGTAGGGACATACTGAAGATGTTTTCATAAACTTTTATTCCTGACAGGTTCGTCATGGAGGCTAAGTGTCTGTGCACCCAATGTGTCAACGCCAACGCCATGAACTGTGAAAAGGTCAGACAGGAGATCACAGTCTTCCAGCGTGGTGCCTGCAACAACGGTCTGGCAGTGATGACTGCGGTCAAGAAGATGATCACCGTGGCCTGCGCATGCGTCGGGATCCCCGTCCAATCACCGCCAGGCCCCGACGGGCCACCAGTCACCGATTAAAATGTCACGTGATATTGAGGCGCTAAACTTACACTCCTGAGGCTGTTGTACAGGTTTGTAGGTGAATAGTTCTAAACATTTGTGATGTAATTTTACTATGGTTTACAACGATGAGTACTTTCTATACTCTTTAACTAAACATTTCAAATTACAAATTAAATTAGTATTATATTTTTTT